CTCTCCCCCTCAGGCACCGGGGGTCCCTGCCTCGCTTTCCTCCCCAGGCTCTCCCCATCCCCCGGGCTCTCCTCATGACCATCACCTCCTGCCTTTTGGTGTCTGCTCCCCCCAGTGTCTCCCATCCAGGAGAGTCTCCCCTCCAGCCCCTGCACTGCCCTGCTCCCCAGCTCTGGGCACCCTCCCCCCGATGAGGTCCTCTCTCAGCACCCTGTGTACCCCCTCTGCCACCCTACAACAGCCCCTTCCACCAGCCTGATCCTGCAACTCCCTCTGCCCCCTCCATCCCCTGCCTGCTCTGTCCCACCCAGCCTCAGCACCAGCCCCTCTGCACCTTCTGTGTCTTCCCCACCCCAGCTCCTCCTGCACCAGCCCCCTCGGTCCCCCCAACTCAGCTCCCCTCAAGACGCTGCCGTCCTCGGTCACTGCCCCTCCCCCCCACAAGTTGGGAGCGAAGCCTCCTGCCCTGCGAGGGAACAGCCTGAGCTGCGGCTGGCTGAGCGCGGCATGGCTGGGACACGCAGGCAGTGGGGGCCCGGGAAGCTCAGCGCAGACAGGACACGGAGAGGCTGGGGGATGTGGGCCGGGGGGCACAGAATTACTGAATGAGGACGCTGGGTGTGGGGAGAAAGGGGAAGCTCAGCCCCCATCTGACAGCCTCAGAGCCCTGCAGTGGGGCCAGAACCACCCGACTCTGGGCTAGTTCAGGGGTAGGGGAGCCCTGGGGCTGCGTGCACATTCCTGGTTAGTGTGACCCCCACATGCTCTCACACACCCTGGGGTGGGGGGTGTCCCACAAACGCCTCAGCCACGAGAAGGCAAAACAAACTATTCCCACATTAGGAAACTGATTCTGACTGACAGTTTCCTCTCTGGGTTATTGGGGCCACAGCTCTGTCCCCCACTCCCGGCCTGCTGCAGCTGCACGATGTGACGAACTGGGACTGTTCTTACTGTGGTCTGTGAATGCTGACAGGGGAGTGTGGCTAGGATAGTCTGCATTGCGGGATGGGAGACTGACCGACGGAGAATACCTGAGCATGTAACATGAGAACCCAGGAAGGGGTTAGAGGCCAGGTGACACCTTTGCCTGGGAAACTGTACAAAGGCTGTGGGAGGGGTCGCTGAAGGGAGAGTTTCAGGAGCTGGCTGGTGACATGGCTGGGAGGCAGATGGGGCTCTGACCTCCCAAGGGAGCTGGGATGCCCTGGGACCCCAAGATGGACCTAACTGAGGGGATCCTGTTGTCTGTGCCTGCAAGACCTGTCTTGGACTGTGTCCCTGTCGTCTAAATAAACCTTCTGCTTTACTGGCTGGCTGAGAGTCATGGTGAATCGCAGGAAGCCGGGGGTGCAGGGCCCTGAGTCCCCCAAACTCCGCGACACACGGGCAGAACCAGACCCCCAGGCGCTGTTCGGGGAGGGCCTCGCCAGCTCACTACCCGCAGAGTCTGGCTGTGGAGACAGCTCCCCACGCACAGGACACCCGCCCCTGTGGACCGAGAGTTGGGAATGAGCCTTTGGGCATTACAGAAATAAACGGTGTATTCCTGCTGCAGAGGAATTGGGCTAGATGGACCCGCCCAGGCTGGACGGAGAAATGCTCCAAACAGGGGGGTCGGGTCGTGGACCTTGTGACTCGGAGAAAGGAAATGGTTCGTCTGCCAGGACACGTTTTCCTTTTCTCTCCCTGCTACACGGGCACAGCCCTGTACCCCAGGGGATTCCCATAGCGGGGAGCCATGAGGGTGGGTCCAACAGAACGACAGCCGGGCCGCTCAGCTCCTTCTCTGCTACCGGCAGACTGGGCCCCCTCCCACCGACACAGCGTGGGCTGGTGCCGGCACGTCCAGCTGTGACACGGTGGGAAGGTCTGAACAGGGGCCAGGCAGATCTCACCACACGGGGCAGTACGAGCCCGAGGCCCTGGGGCTGCTGCCGCTCTCAGAGAGGGGGTGGATGCCGGGTGCTGGGGCGGCTCAGACTTGTGGGCTGCGGGATGCACCATCTCAGCCCCTGGCACGGCAGATTTTGACGCTGTTTGTCCTGTAGCTGTGGGATGGCAGAGAACAAACCGAGCCCTGGCGATGCACAAAGCCCGTGTGCAGCGGATGCGGATCTCGAGGGCTCCATGAACACCCAGCGTTCCCAGAGCTCCTCCCTTGGTGAGATGGTGCTGGACAAAAGGAGGGGAGGTGCCATTCCTTGGGCCCTGAGACAAACAGAGATCATCTCAGGGATAAAAGCCAAGTCTCTGTCTGAACCCCCCCCACCCCTGATCGCTGGGGGAAAACGGCTACTAACCCTTCTGTAACCGTTGTCCATCGAGATGTGTTGCACACGTCCATTCCCATGTAGGGGTGTGCGCGCCCCAAGCATCGCTGCTGGAATTGTTCCCCCCTAGTGCTACCTGTCGGGTGGGCTCTGGCGCCCCCTGGTGCCGTGTGCTCATAGTGCCGGTAAAAGGAGCCTGCCAAGCCCGTGCCCCTCAGTCCCTTCTTACCAACCACTCCGAGAGCGGGGCCAGGGGATGGGTGTCGGAATGGACGTGTGAAACACCTCGAAGAAGAACAGTCACAGAAAGGTCAGTAACCGTCGTTCCTTCGAGCGCTCGCTCGTGTCCATTCCGATGTCGGTGACTCACAAGCCGCGGCACCAGAGGGGGGCCAGGAGTTCAAGGACAAGCCGGCTGCAGCACAGCGCGGCCAGAGCGTGCATCGTCCCTGACCTGCTGAGTGACGCCCAGTGTGCTGGGAACGGGCGCGCCGAGGAGCAGGTCGCAGCGCTGCAGATATCCCGAGTAGGGACTGGAGCTGGAAAGGGCGCTGAAGAGGCCTGAGACCCTGTGACAGGAGCAGGGACGTTCGGCAGATGGGGAATCCCCGTGAGCTCAGGACACACCTGGGTGCGCGATGGAACCCAAGACGAAATCCTCTGAGCGGAGATGGGAGCCCCCTCATTCTCCCCGCTAGGAAAAGCTTCGGGGATTTACGGGAAGGGTTTAGTCCCTGAATGTAAAATGCCAGCGCCCGTCTGACCTCCAGCGAGTGCAGGCGTTGTCCTGCCCGGTCTGCGTGCGGCTCAGGGTAAAGGACTGGGAGAAAAATCAGCTGGTTCAAGTGGAACTGGGGACCCCACTTTTGGGAGGAACTTTGGATGTGGGCGTAGCTGGACTCTGTCTCTAAAGGAGGTCGTGTCCGGGGGCTCCGCATTGAGGGCTCGG